AATAAAATGGTTATTTAAAACAAGTTGGAGATTATTTAGAGTACTTTACCCCTAAACATTTCAACATAAGTATTATGAACTGGAATTTAAGTGTGTATGTATGTATTTGTGTGTGTGTGTGTGTGTGTGTCTTTTGAGTAAGATTTGTAAATGTGAAATGTACAAATCTTAAAAAATGAGTTTTGACAAATGACTCTTGCCTGCGTAGCTTAAAATCTCTATCAAGATTTAGAATGTTATTATTACCTTAGAAAGTTCTCTCCTGCCCCTTCCTAATCAGTCTCTTGGCACCTCAGACAATCGTTCTAATTTTTAAAAAAATCATAGATAAGTTTCATCTGTTCTAGAACTTTATGTAATTGGAATTATACAGTATGTACCCTTTGATTCTGTTTACTTTTACCTATTTTAGCGTTTTTAATACCATGTTGGTTCATCCTCTTATAGTAGTTCATTGCTTTCTGTTGTTGAGTGGTATTCTCTTGTATAAATATACCTCAGTTTATGTATACATTATTTTTGATGGACTTCTGGGCTATTTCCAGATTATGGCTATTATGTATAAAGATTCCAAGTGTTCTTGTATACATTTGTTGTGGACATAATGCTGGATTAGGGAAGATCTATATGTTTAAGTTTTTAAGAAACTGCCAGGCCTTTTCCCAAAGTGATTGTACTGTTTTACACTTTCATCAACAGTGTATGGTTTTTTGTTTTTTGTTTTTTTATTCAAATAAATTTTTGCATGCTCAATGATTGGAATGTCAGAATTGAATAACTTTTCTGAATTTTAGATGAATTTAAAATACTGAGCAGAAAATAAAAAAATAAAATGTCTAAGCAGACAGTTTTGATATCTGGGAATATTGTAGTTTTATTGATATATATATATTTTTTCTGTTTTAGCCTTTACTGCGTATATGCTTTGACAGGAGGTACTGAGAAGTGTGATGAAGTGTATAGTGCCTGCCATGCTCATAAAATATCATTCTGAAAATATTTATGCAAAGAAAGATCTCCTAGGTGTATTTTATTCATAATGACACTAAAATGACATTAAATCTCTCTTATCAGATAAGAAAACTATGGGGGCGCCTGGATGGCTTAGTTGGTTAAGTGTCCGTCTTGGTTTCGATTCAGGTCATGGTCCCAGGATACTGAGGTTGAGCGAGGTTGGGGTCTGTGCTCAGTGTGCCATCTGCTCAAGATTCTCTCTCCTTCTCCCTGCTCATGTGTATGTGCGTGTGCACGTGCTCTCTCTCTCAAATAAATAGAATACTAAAAAAAAAAAAAAAAAAAGTTAAAACTATGGATGATTACTAGTTCCGAGGAATTTGTATATTAATGATTGTCAGTTTTTTAGTGTAATAAAAACTGTTTCAAACCTTAAATTTATATTGCATTTATACGTTAATATTTGTTAAAAATTCTGGTAGGTTTTGGTAATTTCAAAATACAGTTTGGGAGAGTACCTTCTTTGTTGAATTTGATTATGAGACATTTTAAAATTCAACTGTTCTATTGAAAGCATTGTGTATTTGGAGTTTTTGAAAGAAAGTAATATTAAAGACTTGGGTATGTGGGATGTATAATTAAGCTGTCCAACAGTAGGGTAACTGCTTAGGAATCATTAAGATGATAATATCCACTATCAATATTAAAATGGCAAAATTTCACTCTTCCTCTTTTATCAAAGCATAATTATAAACATACTTATTTTGTGAATCTTGCTTTTAGGCATTCAAGTCTCTTGTTTATGCAGACTGTCTTTTTGGTATTGATTTGCAAAGTATTTTATAGGGTCAAGGGAGAAGTAGATCAGAACCAAGTTTAGAAATAAAAATTACACTTTGTAGTAGAATTGTTAGGGATGATTAGTCTAGAACATCATGAATTAGTCAATATTTCGTGTATTACAAGTAGTCGATGTAGGTTTTGTTCCTTATATGTTTAATTTCTAATGTAAGGATTTCTTTTTTTTTTTTTTTAAGATTTTATTAATTTATTCATGAGAGACAGAGAGGCAGAGACACAGGCAGAGGGAGAAGCAGGCTCCATGCAGGGAGCCCAATGTGGGACTCGATCCTGGGTCTCCCGATCAGGCCCTGGGCTGAAGGCGGTGCTAAACCGCTGGGCCACTGGGCTGTTTAATTTCTAATTTCTTTATTTAATTTCTAATATCTTTATTCTGCTTTGGGGGATTTTCTCTCTTCTCTGCCTAATAGCTTCCATTTAAAATGGGACTAAATGGGAAAGGAACCAAGACAAGGTGATGATGATGATGGTAGTTAACATTTAGGGAGTCCTTATTACGTGTCAAGTACTGTTCTAAGGGTTCTACATATACTAGCTAACCCAGTGCCCACAATAAATCTGTGAGGTAGCTATTAGTATTACATTCGTTTGCAGATTCATAAATTGGCATAGAGTGGTAAGTAACTTGTCCAAGGTCACTTAGCTTGTAAGTGGGAAAACTCAAGATTCATACCCAGGCAGATTAGTTCATGCTCTTCTCCTCCTCCTCCTATTCTGTAAAAGAAAGGCTATCTGGGAATCTGTGGTATTTCAAAGTTAACTATAAGTAATTTCTGAATTCTCCGTTTAATTATTGTCTTTTGTTCTATTTATTTTTTTCTGGACATAGGAAGGGTCCTGGACATAACAAGTCAACACTAGGCTCTGGGGATAACAGGGTATTTGACTGGATGTTTTTCCAGCTATTTTGGTGAAGACATACTTTTTACCCTTGTTTTACAGCAATCTTGAGTAATCACATATTTTTCTTGGATAACATAATAAAAGGAACACATTTTAAAAGTACAAAATGGTATTATCGGTCATTCAATGCACATCGACTACTAGTAGAAATAACGCACAAGACGAAACTAAAATTGGCTAAAATTTTATACCACAAAATTTCTTAGAGTTCAAAAACTGATCAAGCATCCTGTCTTTTTTTGTTAATCCTAAAAACCTCAAAACTTTATCTGAGAAATTCAAGGTTGGTAAAGCAAAAATAATAAATAACAACTACCAGTTATTTAAGAAACTGATAAAATTTCTTAACTAAAACCTGATGGAGTAATACAATTTTGTTAATATTTAGGTATTTAACATTTGATTTAGCAAAACTGCATTTGGTAAATTATGATTGTAAAAACTCATGTTGGCAAAAGTTACAATTAATAAAATATGATTCATAAAAAACTGACCAAGGAACCAAATCTTTGTTATAAAGTTTTCTTGGAAAATAATCCTGAAGGTAACAATACATAAAAATGAAAATAAAAATGGGCAAAAATGGAGAGGAGTTCAAAGTTAATCTCTAAAGCTATTTTCTCATGAAAATTAATTTTAAGATAATTCTAATATTTTTATAAACATAAAGTCAAATGTACTTTGAGTCAAAATGGCAGTTTTGAAAAGTACCTATTGTTCTGAGCATATGGTGATGAGCAAGATCAAAACACCTTCCTTTCAGGACTTCACAATTTAATGGGAAGGCTAATGTTAAGTAGTTTGGCACATAATTAATTGCTGAGATAATGCTGAAATAATAAGATCTAGCCTGGCAGAAAGGGAAAATTAAGCTATGGCAGAGTGAATAGAAGTTAATTTAGAAGAGCATGTTGGAGGATGAGGTGGAAGGCCCTTTGGCTAGAAGTAGCATGTTTTCTTAAAGACCATTATGACTAATGGATTTGAAGAAAGATACATAATCAGATTTACATTTAAAAATAGACAAATATAGTAAATATAGGAAATGGTTTTAGGGAGTAGAGGTGGCACGGGAAGATCTCAGTAAGCCTGTTGGGAAGATCCTACAGAGTACAGTGGTTCAGAGATGGTGATTTGAAGAAGGGAAGTAATGGAGAAGGCAAACAGTGCAGAGCCGTGAGAGCCATGTGGAGGTTAGCGTCACCTGGATTTGTGTTTGACTGGCTGTGGAACAGAGTAACGGATGTCGAGGATGATTTCCAACTTTCTGACTTGAATGAGGGTAGTGGTACTCTTAATGAGAAATCTGAAGGAGGAACCATTTTTGGAAAGAAGACAAGTGGTATAATGAATCAAGATGTTTATGAAACATTTATGTAGACAGGTCTGAGGGGCAATTATGTACAGATACCTAGGTCTAGAGTCATGACTTGGGCTAGAGAAAAATATCTTCGGGTTTATACAGGAGTGATATTGAATCCTTGGGAGTTAAGGGGAAGGGCACAGTGAGAAGAGGGTCTAGAATTCAGGTCTGATGAGCTGGCAAGATGTTGTAAGAAGAAGCAACCAAAGAAGTAGGAAAAATTGAGATGTGTTAGAGAAGCTGTAAAAAATAAGGTTCAGTATTTCAAGGAGGAAGTGGTCAACATCATTGTCCAATGCTTTTGAGAATTCTGATCAAGACTAAAAAAATACCTTGTGTATTTATTGGCAAGGAGTTCCTTAGTGGCCTTTAACAAGAGTAGTTTTGGGGGATGACTGGAAGCCAGATTGGAGTACAGATCTTCCTTGACTTACGGGGTTACCTAATTAACCCATCATAAATTGAAAATATCCTAAGTCAAAAATGAATTTATCCACCTTACCTACTGAACATTATAGCTTAGCTCTGACGGCCTTCAACACATTCAGGACATTTACGTTTGCCTACAATTGGGCAAAATCATCTAACACCCTATTTTATAATAAAGTGTTGACTGTGTCATGTAATTTATTGAATAGTGAGAGTGAAAAACAGAATGGTTGTATGGGTACAGAGTAGTTGTGAGTGTATCGATTGCTTACCCTCATGATTTCATGGTAGACAGGGTAGACAGGCATTAATGCTAGCTAGACATTTGAATTTCTCAGTTCATAAAATACTAACAGGAGTATGATCAAATACTCAATACTTACTAGTACCACTTAATTTTCTTGTGCATTTACTTTTGTTCAAATGACACTACTCCTTAAAGTCATCTCTAATAATGTGGTTCTTATTTTTATTTTATTTTTTATTGTAGTTCACTCAGCCCCTAAAGAAATAACAGTGTCTAAGGGACAAGAAGAGGAAGAACCTGATAGCCTAGTTAAATATTTCAGTGTTGTTTGGTGTAAAGCTTCGAAGAAAAAACACAAAAAGTGGGAAGGTGATGCTGTTCTCATTGTAAAAGGAAAGTCATTTACATTAAAGGATTTGGAAGGCAAAGACATTGGAAGAGGTATTGTGATATTATGTAATGTTTATGATTTGGCCTACTATTAGTATATATCTGAGGTTATGTAATTAAAATGTGGGATTTTATAAGGGTTAGATTAGGATGCTCTTTAATTGACTTGCATGTCAAAATTATCTCATGATAATCTGCCAGTCTTATGTATACTAGCTCGGTTAAGGAAATCCCATCTCATGGATTCATTTTCTCTAAAATGAAATAGTTATATGCAGTCATTTTTATATTTTTCTGAGACTAAGCAGTTTGTCTTACTGTACTGCTACTCTCCCCACCCCCTTGCTAAATGATTAAAGTCAGAAAAATGTTGATATCAGGTGTGGAATATTATCTAATTTCAATGATACCCAACAAAATTTTGAAAAAAAAAAAAAGAAAATGGCTGGGCATGATCCAGATTAATACATCTAAATTTGAGGTTATCGTTATTTCTATTTTAACATGTTACCAGGATGATTGTACTAATACAAGTTAGCTCACAAATTCAGAATGCTTAACACCAACCATGTTTTTTGGCGTTGTCTCTTATTGTTCAATTTGAATATGGCCCATTAGTATAAAATCTGTTCTATACGTCATTCATTTAATAATATCATACTTTATAGTTTTTAGTAACTGTTAAGTGCCAAGCATTACGCTAGGAGTAAACATTAAAAAAATGTATAGAAGTTACGGTTTAGTGGGGGATAGGGCAATGTAATTGATAATTAGGAAGCAATAAAATAATTGTTTCATTGAGAATTTGTACTCCATGCAGTAGGAGATAGAAGGACCATTTAGATCTGCCTAGGAGGCGGGGGAAAGCTTCATAGGAATTATTGTTTAAGGTAGTGTTTGAAAAATAAATAGTTCTGTAGGGTATGAGAAAGGGACATACATAGGAGGGAATAGTATATACAAAGGCACAAAAGCGGGAAAGAGGTAAAATTACTAGTTCAGTGTTTCAGGAGTGTAGTATGTGAAGGTCAGTGCCAGAGTGACGAGTTGAGGCTGAACTGAATGATCTGCAACTGAATTTTTTTTTAAAGATTTTATTTATTTATTCATGAGAGACAGAGAGAGGCAGAGACACAGGCAGAGGGAGAAGTGGGCTCCCTGTGGGGATCCCGATGGGGTACTCAACTCGATCCTGGGACCCTGGGGTTATGACCTGAGCTGAAGGCAGACGCTCAACCACTGAGCCACCCAGATGCCCCTGAATTTTATTATAAAAATATTGAGGGGCGCCTGGGTGGCTCAGTTGGTTAAGCCTCCAACTTTTGGTTTTGGCTCAGGTCACGACCTTAGTGTGGTGGGATTGAGCCCTGCTTCAGGCGCACTGGGCAAGCCTGCTTAAGATTCTCTCTCCCTCTGCCCCTTCCCACCTTTCTTTCTCTCTCTCAAAAAAAAAAAAAAAAAAAAAGTCGCATGCTCTACCAACTGATCAAGCTAGCACTCCTAGCTATATTTTCAATAATTAAAAAAAGGTCTTGCTTTCTCTAAAGATTGGCTAATTTTCATAGCTTTATTATTTATTACTTCTGATTTTTCTGTTTTTTAAACAAAATGATAAATGATGTTTTCATCCTGGATAATGGGTTATACAAGGCTATTTGCATTCAAAGCACAGTTTTCATTCTGTGGGGTTATAGGAAGGTGACTGTGGTATCACTAAGTTATCTTAGCGTGTCAGTAAATTAAATTCACATTCTCTCTTCTCATTTTAAAGGCATGGCATATAAATTGAAAGAGCTTGAAAAGATTGAAGAGGGCCACAGAGTGATGATTGGTGGAAAAGAAGTAGAAGTCATGGGTATAATTTCTCCAGATGATTTCAACAGTGGCCGATGTTTTCATCTTGGAAGAGGAAGTCCTGCTATCTCAAGTTCTTCTCAAGCTGCCAAGAAGTGTTTCTCTAACCCCTTCAAAAGTGTTTGTAAACCAAGTTCAAAGGAAAATAGACTGGGTGGTTTCCAAGATTGTAAACCACGCCATGACCCACATGCACCAAGTAAGATGTAAAACATAATTTGAATATTCTGTTTTTACTGTCAAAACATATTTGGCCTGTGAATTTAAAGTTTAAGATTTGTTTAAAGTTTTCAGATGAAAGTATATGTTATTCTTCAGGCATACAACTGACATAAGGAATAATGTTGAAGTTGTATAATATAGTTGGGGAATCATTTCATAAATAAATGTATAATTCTAAGAATATAGTAATAATGTCATATTTGTATTAAAGGAAAAATGTACCAATTGGAGATTGTATACACACAAACATACATGTATAAGATTTTGAATAATATCTGACATCTTAGCAAGAAGAAATATTAATTCATGAGTCAGGATTATATTTATATTTCTCTTTTGACAACTGTATGTCTTGATCACATGCATTAGTGTATTAAAATGTTGAATGGTGATACTTTTTTTTTTAAAGATTTATTTATTTTCAGGTAAAGAATTTAAATTAAACCCATGAGAATTCAATTTAATGAGTTAATTTTCACATTAATGAATCTAATTTAAAAAATGACATTAAAAAATAACATCTCTCCTTTTTTTTTTTTTTTTCCCGATTTGATTTGTTTGCTCGACAGGGATTTCTTCAATGCCTTTTTTTTGCATTGAGGGCAGAGGTAAACTATCATCAGAGATCTTATTTGGTGAGGAGGCAAACAAGTAAATTTGAATTATAAGGCAGTAGATATCAAAGTGGGGTATAGTGTAGGCTGCTTTCAGATTAGTAAAATAAAAAGTACATGAGTAACATTAAGTATTTTCTGCAAGTATTATGGGAATAGAATTTTTGAAATAAAGGGGCCTTTGAGATCATTTAGTTTAGTCTCTTCCCTTTGCCTTTGAAGAAACTGAGCCCCAGAAAAATGAAGACATTGCTGAAATTCAAGGAATTATTGAAAAATTTGGGATAAAAACCTCAAATTAAGAATTCCTAGCTCTATGTGAGCTTATCTGAAACTTAGTTGAAAGATAGGCAGTGGAGGCTTCTGCTTCTGATTTTTCTTTTTATCCAAATATATTATCTGTCCCACCATCTCTTTTATTAACAGGCTTCCTTCTCCTTTATTCTCCTTTCTCTTTGCCTTCCTATTACGTAATAGAGGGATGTGGGAAACCGAAAGAATAATGTGCTTATTCAGAGGTCTGAGGTAGAGTCCCAATTTTGCAACTGAACTAACGGGTTCTTTGACTTCTTGGAGTAGTCACTTACCTCACTGATGGCTTTGTCTCCTCAAGTCTAAATGTGGGTTCTAATCACTACCATAGAGACGTAGAGTGTTGCTACATGCTTCGTATAATAAATAACTTATTGACTAAATGAAAATGTTATTGTGATAATTTATATATTTATGCGTACGTGTGCGTGTGTGTGCATGCACGTAGAATATAACTCTTTGTGTGATGGTAAGTAGTTGATGATCCTCATTTATCTTGCTAAGGTTAGAACTAGGTTGTAGACTTAAAGTGGAAACATAAAGGATTTTGTAAGCACTACGTGATGTTTCATTATTGTGAAGGTAGAGAGAGGGGCATCTTAAAAATTGAAATGGTGTCCCATTATTGTGGTGGTTTAAGTTTTATCTTTCTTGAAGATGTATGCTCTGTTAGTTGACTTAGATTCTGTGGTCCTTCTTGCTTGAATACTGTATTATCCTCATCCCTGTCTTCTCTTTTTTTCCCCTTTGTGTGTTTCAAAAGAGAAAAATGGGGCCATTTTTTGGTTAGGAACCCATAAGAAAGATACTTTTTTTTTTTTAAACTTTTTTTTTTTTTTTTTTTTTTAATTTATGATAGTCACAGAGAGAGAGAGAGAGGCAGAGACACAGGCAGAGGGAGAAGCAGGCTCCATGCACCGGGAGCCCGATGTGGGATTCAATCCCAGGTCTCCAGGATCGCACCCTGGGCCAAAGGCAGGCGCCAAACCGCTGCGCCACCCAGGGATCCCGATACTTTTTTTTTTTTAAAGATTTATTTATTTATTTTTGAGAGACACAGAGAGGCAGAGACACAGGCAGAGGAAGAAGCAGGCTTCCCACAGGGAGCCTAGTGTGGGACTCGATCCCGGATTCTGGGATCGGGCCCTGAGCTGAAGGCAGACGCTCAACCCCTGAGCCAGCCAGGCGTCCCAAAAAAGATACTCTTGCTTTGCTACTGGAATATAGAGGAAAGCCAAGGGCTGAATTTTCCATTTTCACTCCCTAATCCTCTATTTGCCAGGAATTGACCTCAAAAATGGGAGTTCCTTTTAGTTGCTCAGAAACCTAGGAAGATCATTTTCCTCTGGGTAATCGCTAATGGTAAACACGATCAAACTCTCTCAGTGACTATGTATTTCTGCATTGGTGGGCATTTATTTAATCTCCTGGAGCTTGTTTTCATTATCTTCCCTTCTAATTTCTGTTCTTTTTTCTTTTTGTTTTATTCTAAAAATCTATTTTTTTTAAAGATTTTATTTATTTATTAATGAGAGAGAGGCAGAGCCATAGGCAGAGGGAGAAGCAGACTCCTCACAGGGAGCCCAATGTGGGACTTGATCCCCAGACTGGGATCATGCCCTGAGCTGAAGGCAGACACGCTCAACCACTGAGCCACCCAGGGATCCCTTTATTCCATTTAAAAATGGAAGACATATAAATATATCCCTAAAATAATTCTGATGAATTATTATTTGACTTGACTTTAGAATTATTAATTGAGACCTGCTCTCTAGTTATATTTAATTTTGTATTTTCTGGTGATCTTTTAATAAATCTCTTAAATTGTATTAGCATATTTCTACAGAATTACATAATTATTCTATGGTTACTTTTTTTTTGCTGCTTTGCAAAGATTCATGAATTTGACATTCATGAACATAGTAATTAACTATAAGCAAATGATGAAAGTCAATGGAAAATTTGTCATCTTTTCTCAGTTCTTCTGATTAATAGAAGAGTCATTGTTAGTGTATACAGAAGTCAAAATAATGGGAGCTTTTATGTTAAATTTGGGGTGCCTTTCCAAAACAAGAAGCTATGAGCATTAGCAAGTGCAACTTGGCAAAATTCCAACCTGTGATTTCAGTTGGAAATAGATCTCTTTGTTCTGAACACTGAACTATTAAATGTTGTAGCTTACTGAATTCTTTACTAGACAATAGTGAATTTTTAGTGGTTTTGAAGTAATTTGGAGCATATGAAGTTTGGAAAGCTCTTTGAAATTCTCTGCCTGAAATCTTACATCAATAAGGCATGAGATCTTATTTTTAAATTTTCTACTCTTGTTTAGTATTAGTGTTACTGAACTTCAATTTTTTTTTTTTGCCACAAATGATGGCAAATAGTTATAGGCTGTGAATAATTAAAGCAAGATGATGTAGTTGCTGACAAAGTGAAATTGCAATACATTAATAAACTTTCATCTTTTTCTTAAGATTCTCTTGTAATGTCACGACCTGACAATAATCACCAGTGGACGTTCAATAAGAAGGGTTTTCCTGTTGTGGATGTGGTGATAGATCCTCACCTTGTATATCATCTTCGACCACATCAGAAAGAAGGAATCATGTTCCTTTATGAATGTGTAATGGGAATGAGGTAGGAAAATAAATAATTTGTTTAGTCTAATTTGAGTTTTTTTTTTTTTAAAGATTTTATTTCTTAAGTAATCTCTGCATCTAACATGGGGCTCAAAATCACAACCTGAGATCAAGAGTTGCACGCTCCACTGACTGAGCCGGCCATGTGCCCATAGTCTCCATTTTGATTTAACCTGTAACGTAATTGTTTTCTAGAAAAAGCCTGATGTAATGACTTTCAATACATCATTAACAGTACTTCATGTGTGCATTTATTCTAAAAGGGATTCTTGATGAATGCCATGTGCCAGGAGCTGGGCATACAGGAGTGAGGACCACGGTCCCTCCCCTTAAGTGGTGTTTAAATTATTTGAGGAAACAGGTAAATATAGTCAACCTTAATGTGATACAATTAGAGCTTATTAGTATGAGAAAAGGTTATGGGGGCAAAATGGAAGTAGCCTTTAACTCTGCTTATGGAAAAAAGATTTTCTTCTTATTTCACTTCTACTTTAAAATAAAAGGAGTCTCCCTCACTTCCTTTTAAATACAGTTTTCTGATAAAGAATTATAGAATCCTCTCTTAAAGATACTGTAGAAGACACACACAGACACAACAAAAGCCAGACAAAGGAAGTAAAAAAGAATCAAACGAATCTGCTAACATCTTGTTCTATTTCCTTCTTTTGTTTTGTTTTTAATGTGTATTTTTAAATTGATCATTTCAGAGGGAATTGGGAATGTAAATTCCCTTTACTCTATGAGCCCTTTGAATAATGACTGGTTAAGGGATACGACATCCCAGAATCTGTCTAGACTCATGTTTCTCAGAATATGCTCTTCTTTCTAGAGATCTTATCTTATTTGGCCTGTGGAAAACATCTTTAATGTCTTCTCTTTCACTTTCTCAGTGTAATCAAACCAGAACTTTTAATTGTTTTGAATTCCTAAATATGCTTTGATTCTGGATCTTTTCTGGCACCTCACTGCAGCAGTGCCAGTGACATACAATTATATTTCATCTGGATTTTTGCAGTGGCACCTAGCTTGTGTATCTGCTTTTGATGCTCCTCAAATTCATTCTACTTATTGCCACCAGCTTGATTTTTCTGAGAAACACTTCTGAACATGGCATTCTCTTGCTTAAAATGTTCAGACTCTCAAACTTAGAGCAGTGTTTCTTCATCTGTAATATGCACTCCACTGGTGGTGTAAGGTCATTTTAGGTGGATATGGACAAGACTTCTTTTTTATTTTATTTTATTTAAAAATATTTTTAAGGATTTTACTATTTTTTAAAAGGTTTTTTAAAAATTTATTTATTCATGAGAAACAAAGAGAGAGAGGCAGAGACACAGGCAGAGAGAGAAGCAGGCTCTATTCAGGGAGCCTGACGTGGGACTCGATACCGGGTCTCCAGGATCATGTCCTGGGCCGAAGGCAGGCGCTAAACCGCTGAGCCACCCAGGCTGCCCAAGGATTTTATTTTTAAGCAATCTCTTTTTTTAAAAAAAAGATTTATTTATTTATTTTAGAGAGAGAGTGTGAGTGTGAAGTAGTAGGAAAGAGAGAATCTAAAGCAGACTCTTTGCTGAGTGTGGAGCCTGATATGGGTCTCCACCTCATGACCCTGATTACTTGCCCTGAAACCAAGAGTTGGATGCTTAACCCAACTGAGTCACCCACGGGCCTCTAAGTAATCCCTAGGACCCAAACTCACAACCCTAAGAACAAGGGTCTCACATTCCACCAACTAAACATCCAGGAGCCCCACACCTTGTTTTTAAATTCTGATAGCATATTTAGTTAATGAATTATTAGAAAAAAATAGTATATTGGGCACCTGGGTGGCTCAGTTGGTTAAGCATTTGCCTTCGGCTGAGGTCATGATCCAAGAGTCCTGGAATCGAGCCCCACATCAGGCTCCCTGTTCAGTGGGAATCTGCTGCTCCCCCTGCCCCTCACTCCACTCATGCTCTCTCTCAAATAAATAAAATCTTTAAAAAATTTAAAAAAGATAGCATATTAAATTTTTGATTTCATGGATAAATCATGCTTGAAATTTTCAAATAAATCTAAGTAAAAAAGGGAGTTGAGTTAAAGAAAAATAAATAACAACATATTAGCAAAAAAAATCACATATATAACAAAATTGTGATGGTAGTCATGAAAGACTGATGTTTGGGAGACACTGACGTGCAAGATACAGTGCAAACTTTCAGGGATAAGTATCTGTAGTCTCCACCTCTCTTGCCAGGTTCATAGCTTTTGTCTTACTTACTTAGAATTCAGTGCAAGCTCCAACTATGTTGAACTCTCAATTCATGTAGTAAATTCCTATTCTCCTTTGAAAAGGTCCATCTTTTCAATGAAACTTTCCTGCTCTCTTCCTTCCCCTGTGGAAGGTGAATCACTATTTTTCTTTCTGCCACTCATATCTTAGCTGGCATTTGGTCTTGAATTGTCAAGTTGTTGATCTAAAATGATAATAATGGGGGTGCCTGACTGGCTGGCTCAGTTGGTAGAGCATACATCTCTTGATTTCACGGGTTGTGGTTTGTTGGGTGTAGAGGTTACTTTATTTTTTTTAAAGGTATTCTTTTTTTTTTTTTTAATTTTTATTTGTTTATGATAGTTAGAGAGAGAGAGAGAGAGGCAGAGACACAGGCAGAGGGAGAAGCAGGCTCCATGCACCGGGAGCCCGATGTGGGATTCGATCCCGGGTCTCCAGGATCGCGCCCTGGGCCAAAGGCAGGCGCCAAACCGCTGCGCCACCCCCCAGGGATCCCTCTTTTTTTTTTTTTTTAAAGATTTTATTTATTTATCCACGAGAGACATACAGAGAGAGAGAGGCAGAGACACAGGCAGAGGGAGAAGCAGGCTCCATGCAAGGAGCCCAACATGGGACTTGATCCCGGGACCCCAGGATCACACCCTGGGCCAAAGGTGGTGCTAAACTGCTGAGCCACCCAGGGATCCCCCAGGGTTACTTTAAAAAAAAAAAAAATCTTAAATTATAATTATGGCTGTAATTCATGTTTGTGATTTTTTTCCTCTGTACTTTGAAATGGAAGACATATTTTGGATTGGAATGGAAAGGTGATTTTTGGTTATTTTTACTAATAAGAAAACTAAACTATAATAAAACTACTTATTTTTTTAAAATTTAAATTCCAATTAACTTACAGTATAATATTTTCAAGTGTATAATATAGTGATTTAGCACTTATATACAATACCCTATGCTCATCACAAGTGCCCTCCTTAATCCCCATCACCTATCTCATCCATCCTCCCACCCACCTCCCCTCTGGTAACCATCAGTTTGTTCTATAGTTAAGAGTCTGTTTCTTGGTTTGCCTTTCTCTCTTTTTTCTCCCCTATGCTCATTTGTTTTGTTTCTTAAATTCCACATAAGTGAAATCAAAATCACTTATCATCAGGGAAATACAAATTAAAACTACAATGAGTTATCCACTTCACACCCGTCAGAATGACTAAAATCAGCAGCATAAGAAACAACAGATGTTGGTGAAAATATGAAGAAATAAGAACCCTCTTCCACCGTTGGTGGAAATGCAAACTGGTGCAGCCACTCTGGAAAATAGTATGGAGGTTCCTCAAAAAGTTAAAAATAGAACTAACTATGATGCAGCAAATATTTACCCAAAGAATACAAAAATACTAATTCAAAAGGATGTATACACTCTGGTGTTCATAGCAGCATTATCTACCGGAGCCAAATTATGGAAATAGCTCAAGTGTCTACCGACTGATGAATGGATAAAAAAGATGTGGTATATATGCACAATGGGAAATATTACTCGGCCATAAAAAAATGAAATCTTGTCATTTGCAATGACATGGATGGAATTAGAGTTTTATGCTAAGCGAAATGAATCAGAGAAGGAAAACTACTTATTTTTGGTACTATCCTTAGTTCCTTTTGACTTTATAACTTTTAAAATAGATATAAATAAATTATATATATTAAAGAGCTTTAAAAGCTATGAAGTGATATACACATGCCACTTACTAATATATTCCTTAGAATATTTAATTTTAAATAGCATTAACTGAGTAGGTCTGTAGGATAAGACTATTACTAAGCTACATGTATTAGGTCAACATTTAGTGTTTTTTTTTTTTTTTTTTCTTGCAGTACAAGGAGCTCTGTGATTGAGGACTTCATTTACTGCCAGAGAATCATAAATACAGCTCAATAGATCTTTCTGGTTAAGAGTACAATGTAGTTTAAGCCATTTTTTTTTTTTTTTTAAATTTATGACAGTCCCAGAGAGAGAGAGAGAGAGGCAGAGACACAGGCAGAGGGAGAAGCAGGCTCCATGCACTGGGAGCCTGACGTGGGATTCGATCCCGGGTCTTCAGGATTGCGCCCTGGGCCAAAGACAGGCGCTAAACCACTGCGCCACCCAGGGATCACAGTTTAAGCCATTTTGATATTTCATGTTGAAACTTATAAAAATTACTCAACTATTAGTAATGAGAAGCACAGTTACAGTTAAATTATTCAAATGTAGATATAAAATTTGGATTCGTTTCTAGTCTCTAAATACATGCGTATGATAGTAACAGATGATTTAGATTGAACTGTTGAATTTCAGATTTGTTTTAGTAATTTAGTTGACAGTAAATATATAATGAATATAATTATCAGAGATCCAAAAGAGAGAGCTGTTGTAAATCAGCTGCATGAAAATCTAGAAAAAGGATTTGGGAGCAGGGTAGAGTTTGTCCTAATTACAAAATAATCAGCTTCTGGTTCTTGACTAATAAATGATGATATTGAGGGCATAAAATATTTTCCTATTGTTACTAAAAGAAGTGTAATTATTTCTAACAGAGTAAATGGCAGATGTGGAGCTATTCTTGCTGATGAAATGGGTTTAGGGAAAACATTGCAATGTATTTCGCTCATCTGGACTCTACAGTGTCAGGGGCCCTATGGAGGCATGCCAGTAGTAAAGAAGACGCTTATCGTCACACCTGGAAGCCTGGTGAATAATTGGAGGAAAGAATTTCAAAAATGGCTAGGAAGTGAAAGAATCAAAATATTTCCTGTTGATCAGGTAAGAGACTTGATCAGGTAAGAGTTCAGCCTTGGTCATTTTTTAGATCTCTGTGCTTTTCAAATCAACACTGCAGTTTTCACTGTCTATGGGGTAGTTTTTCCAGTGCATGTAACTGCTCCAACTTCTTTGCAGGAAAATGGCATCTTGGCTTACAGTTTGGTTTTGAGTTAACATATTCTAATTAATGCCTGTCAGGAATATGTTGCTTGAATTTGATTTTATAGTTTCAGCCCATAATTTGTTAAATACCACCTTTTTTGTTGTTGTTTGTTTTTAGGACCACAAAGTAGAAGAATTCACCAGATCTCCATTTTATTCTGTTCTTATCATCAGTTATGAAATGTTACTTCGTTCTTTGGATCAAATTAAGAATGTAAAGTTTGGTCTTCTAATCTGTGATGAGGGGCATCGTTTGAAGAACAGTGCTATTAAGACAACTGCAGCCCTCATTAGCCTCTCTTGTGAGAAAAGAGTAATTCTAACTGGTCAGTATTTTTGGGAAGATATGATAGAATTTTTTCCTACTTACCATATAAGATTTGTAATATGCTTAGCATCCAAAGAATTGGTGGTGCTGGATGGAATTCATACCAATAAATCAATGGTAATTGAGTCTTGGTAGGATTCTGAATTTTCAAATTGCTATGTAATTTTCTGCAACCTACATTTTGGAGTTTTTGAAGAATAAATACAATGGTATCATGGTAAAGAATGTAGGAGATGGGTCTGGACTGCCTTTGCTTGGTTCCTAAGTATGGTATTTATAGCTGTACAACTTTGGGCAAGTTACTTAACTTCTCTGTGCTTCAATTTCCTTATCTGTGAAATAAGGATAATAATACCATTTACTTCATAGAGCTTTTGTGAAGGTCAAAGGAATTAATTCACATAAAGTTCTTGGAAGACTACCTGACACATGGCAAATGCTTATTAATATAAGTATCCCTTGTTTTTATATGTATGTGCTGCATGCACCTAATTTATTACTGGCCAGCCCAGACTATCTGGAAAGGTGGGATGGCCCATTTGTAAATACGCACTTTTTCTACGCACTCCTTTTTAGCCTAGACTAGAATCAGGCCTGAGTAGCTCAATGTAGCTTTTCTTCTACACCTCACTTTGGTCTTATGTGGTCCTTCCAATTTCTGGAGAGTTATCCTTGTTTGAATGAGAGTTTCAACTCTCCGCTGCAGCTTGGTCAGTGGTTGACTCATACAGAGGTGAGTGGAAAATGCCAGAGCCCTTGCCTTTGGATAATTTCAGGACCAATCTTATGGTACAATTTATGTTCTGAGCCTCACTATAGTTTATCTCAGACTCAAGGAGGCCATTTTTGCTTAGTTTGTTCCCCTGCTAGTCTCTAATTCCATTATTCTCTTTCCCCTGAGAGCTCTCCCTTCATAAATGTTGTAGAGCCAAATCCCTGTCTCAGGCTCTACTCCTGGGGAACCCAGTCTAAGACACAAATCTTTTCTTGTATCAGTTATTGGCAGATGGGATCAGGCTATGAGTGGCTTGGGTTAATTTGCTGGGGTTGGATGAATGTCTGGAAGCCAGCCATAAGAATCCTTACACCTTTGTTTCCCCTCGTTCTTGCCTTTCTCATTCTGCCTATTTTTATTAGTCATCATCATGGGTATTTATTTAAAGGCTAATGAACAAAAAACATACCAACATAAATATATTTTCTCTAATTCTTTCAATTATGGGTCCAAAAATTTAGAACTGAGTGGATGTGTTAAAAAATTAACATGTATTAGTCCTGAGGTTGACCCATTTAATTTGAAGGGAAGTGATCATTAAATTCCCTGGCATTATAAAATGTATGTTGTCTTTGTTAATGAATAAGTACATTTTTATTCACTTCTTATATATACCACTTATATTACCTCTGATATTATTTATATTTTTGGACAAGTTTTTCTAGTCTGTTATTTGAATGATAATATTCAATCTGAAATTATACTGTTGGGCTATGCTGACTTATATGTCCTTTTGATGTAATTACTGAACATGCTAATGTTTCTTTGAAAATTAACAAAAGTTATTGAGTGCATAATATATGCAGGGTATATTAATCTGCTTGTGTCAACCTTTAGGATTAGTGAAGATCTCAATCTGTTCTGAAAACTTTGACAGGTAATAGGTGCCTTCACTGAGTCATTACTAAGTGTTAGTCACTGTGCTATAGTATGCACACAGTATCTCTGCTTTTCACTGTAATACCACCAGGGAAATTGTTATCTTTCCACTTTTATAAGTGAAAAAATTCTGAATTTAACTTAAAGAGCTTAAGAAACTTGTCCAGAGTCACACAGCTGTAATAATGTTAAGAATTACTAACAGTTATAGACCATTTATTGTGCTTTAAGCACTGTTCTAAGTATGGCATATGGATTAACTGATTTGATCCTCAAAGCCCTAGGAACTCATTTTATAGAATAAACCGAGGTCTGTAGTTTGCTCAGGGTTACTCAGAGGGTAAATGATGCAGATGGGATTTGATCTCAGACTAGTCAAACTTCAAAACCTGTGCTTCAGCAACCACTATGCTGAATTTAGTACACAGTTAAAACCAGAGTTAAAAGTTTATATGTTCTTAATATTTTTGTTCAACTGGATTTGGCTGCTTTTTCTCAGCCTTAAAGCCTATATTTTAGTTTTCTTAGGGGAGAGGGTACAATTGTCTACAAATACCTGTGACTGAAAAACGCAAACTTGACCTTTTCATCACTTTTTTCTTTAGGTACTCCGGTTCAGAATGATCTTCAAGAATTTTTTGCATTAATTGATTTTGTAAATCCAGGAATATTAGGCTCTTTGTCATTTTATAGAAAAGTATATGAAGAACCCATCATTATATCAAGACAGCCTTCTGCTTCTGAGGTATAATTTACTTTTGTAAATAGGTTAAAAAATAAAAACAGTGTGTCTAGGAAAGTCATCCACAACTTGGGCATTCTTTAATTCTGGAAAAATTAAATTCGTGAATTCTTTATTTTTCCCACAGTCCTTCAACTCTTCTTGCATTTTATTTATTATTATTTATTCTTGCTTCAACTCTTCTCTAAGGACTTAGAAGGTCCTTAAAGGCCAACACAACAGACTGCTTTATTTTAGAAAGTATCACATTAAAAAAGTCATAAATAGGTACACCACAAAGAGTTATAAATGACAGTAAACCTGTAAAAATATTCATTTTTACTGCTGTTGATGAAATAACCATAAAATAACTTTTATACTCTTATGTTGATGTTTTAGTAGGCTCAATTTACATAGGAATAGCAAGTATAGATGAGAGTACTGTCCTCTACTGGTTGGAATGTAAATTGGTCCAACTGGAGACAGTTTGGCAGTATGTATCAAAAGCCTTAAAATTGTATATATTTTGTGGTATGGCAATACCACTTTTAGGAATTTATTATAAAGAAATACTTATAGATATTCTTAAAGATTTAGCTGTAAAGGTAAAAAAGTATAAAACTAAAGGAAACAAATTGTAAACAGACATTTCTACAGGTAGGAAATTGGTTAAAGCAGAGTCTGTATATTGTAAACACAATGTATTTCATTAAATCTAAAATGATACCAATTCTAATATGCATCATTATTTTATGAACCACTAAGGAAAACATGCTATCAATTATAAGAAGTCATTGATTATAAAAAGCATCTCCTGAACTGGAGATGTTAATGTATAAAAAAAAAGTCTCTGAATTAATAAAATACGATAATCAGCAAATATTTATTGAGCATTTCCCATAAACCAGAAAGTATACAAAATAATAGCTTATGAATATATTTAATACCATGGGAAATGTCCAAAATACATTATTTAAAAATAAAATCACATTAATTTATTTACTTAGTACTTACATGTGAAACACCTATAGTGGGGCAAATGCAGTGTTAGATACTAGGGAATGTGGTGAAAAGCCAAACTGACCAGTGCCTTGTTCCCATGAAGCTTAAACTACAGAGATCCTATTTTTGTTACAAACAGGAAAATAAAAGTAAAAATAAAATGTTAAATACATTTACATATTAATATAAAGACAAGACTTGGAAGATGTACTTAAAAGTCTTGACAGCAGTGGTTGTTTCTGGTGGATTGAAGTTGGTTTTAATTTTCTTATTTTTGCATAACTGTTTTGCTTAACTATTCTGACTTTTCTTCAGTAAACCTATTTCTTTTGTAATAAAAGTTGAAAGTGGTTTTAATATAGGAGAATTTTTCATGATTTATATAGAAATGAATATATACATATGGTATTTTATTTTAAGCTTCATTGTGAAATTATGTATGCTCAAAAGAGAATTTAAACGTGTATTTCACTCATACTGTGAGTTTTGACTGTGGTAAAAACTTAGAAATGAACTAAAGGAAACAAACAAATTGGAAACTAACATTTCTAATGAACTATGTATACTGATTTTGAAAAATTTAGCTGTGCCTTGCGCCACTAATTTCTTCTGGGCTTAATTTTAGGATCAATAACTTGTCAAAATATTTGCTTCCAAGAATTTACTGAATTAGTCCTTTGTTGATGATTTTAGGATGATGTACCATGACAGTCTTCACATGAAAGCTTACTTTTAGAATAATTTAGTTTGTAGATTGTTGATTTCTGATGGTTCTTAATGGTGCCAATAAGCTTGCAAACAAGGATTAAGAGACTGGCTTCATTTAATTAAATGATTATGTTGAACATTTAAAGAGATGGTAATTGTTTTTTCTATCCCAAACTCATACTGCATTTATTCTGTAAAGAAAATCTGAAGAGACATAATCAGTAAATGGTTTATTATTATAAAATGTTTAACATTCCTTTTAATTGCAAGTATTTTTTGTTTATAAACACTTTTAAGTCTGTGATTTTTCCACAGGAAGAAAAGAAGTTAGGAGAGAAAAGGGCAGTTGAACTTACTTGCCTCACTGGACTCTTTATTCTTAGAAGAACCCAAGAAGTCATAAATAAATATCTTCCACCTAAAATAGAGAATGTAGTCTTTTGCCGACCAGGAGCTCTGCAGATTGAGCTTTATCGAAAGCTGTTGAATTCTCAGGCTGTCAGGTTCTGCCTTCAAGGGTTGTTGGGAAATAGTCCTCATCTAATATGTATAGGAGCTCTTAAAAAACTGTGCAATCACCCCTGCCTGTTGTTCAACTCTATAAAGGTAAGTAGTGTATGAGACTGTGTCGAGGATATGAGCTAAGGGTTCTGTGTATCTGAGAGGGCAGATAGGACCAATCCCAGGGGTTGCATTTGTGGGTTTTCCAGAAGCTTTATGGCCTCTCCTATATGTTTCATCTGTACAGTTTATCCAGTCTTTTATCTGTTGAGAGCATGTCCATATTCATATGGATGTGGACAAAGGGATGTGAGGCACTGCCTTCTAGACTGTGCCCCATGTCTTTTGGTATCTTGTCTAATACTTTGCTGTGGTTTCTCTCCCTATTTTAGGTATATAGCCAATCAGTTTTGTTTAGCGCAAATATAAAATTTACCATGGAAAATAATGTATTTTTTTCACATATAAAAGTAACACATGATACATGTTGCATGAAGTTTATAAAATTCAGAAAATCAGAAGAAAATTGAAGTCATCTGCTGGTTAGAATTTAAATTGGCACCACTGAGAGATAGCTGGCAATGTGTATCAAGCCTTAAAGTCATATATGTTTTGTGGCCTGGCAATACTTTTAGGAATTTATTATGAAGAAATAAAACTTTCTAGCCAGAAAAAAAACCCCCGTATTTTGGTAATAATAATCTTAGCCAATACCTAATAAGCACTTATCATATACCAAACATGAAATACTTTTCTAGCATTATTTTATTTATTCTTTACAAAGCTCTGTAGATTAAGTATTGTTATTACCATCCCCACTTTTTGGTGAGGAACAGGGGCTCAAAGATATGCATATGTAATCTTGTTTTAGAGAAACTTTTTTTTTTTTAAAGACTTTTTTATTTGAGAGAGAGAGTATGAATGGGGTGAAGCAGAGGGAGAGGGAGACACAAACTCCCCATTCAGCAGGGAGCCCAATGTGGGGCTTGATTCCAGGATCCTGGGATCACGACCTGAGCCGAAGGCAGACGCTTAACTGATTGAGCCACCCAGGCTTCCCTTGTTCTAGAGAAACTTAATTTTAATGATGTTATGCTTACTATTTTAAAATCTACTTTTTTCACTAAATAAATTGTAAACACTTCCCCAATTTAGATATCTTCTCCAAATATGATTTTTAATGGTTATATAGTTGAGCCAACCATTTGGATATTTAACAAACATAAGGCAGTTTGGAATATAGTGAGAGTTTTCTGTTTTAGAGTTATCCAAATCCAGAATGTCTGGCCAAAGAAGTTACATAACGACTATTGATACTCTGTTATCCACAGCTCATTCCTAACACTTTATTAGAACAATTTTGTTGTTATTTTTTTCTTTAAACAGTAAAATAATAATTTGCAAGCAAGACAAAAGAAAACCTGTGGATGCTGTATTATGCTTGAGGTCATTAGTTACATATTTAGAAAATGGAGTGTTCTAACCAGAATTCTTCAGGTTTATCCTAAATGAGTTATATTTACATAGTTTATCATAGGAGAAATCTGTAACTCTTTACTGGCAGGATTATAACAATTTATTAGTCAACTTTTTAAGAAACATTTTACACACAGTAACAAAAACTCAACCCTTTGGGCATGATGCCCAGCAAAAATAGAAGCCAAAAATTCTTCCTTAAAAGGTAGACTTTATCTTAGCCCAGAATGCACCAGTTAACTAGTAGTAGGCATAGAATACTACAAGCTTCAAAAAGGGCACATAATTTACAACTTGAGCCTCACTTGGTTAAGTCTTTCCTTTAACATCTTAGCAAATAAGGATCAATAGAAAATGGCTGAAATGAGCCTGCCACATGTATAAGTAACCTTTAAACAGTGTTTTTATAAATATGTTCCTGTTGAAACTAGGTTATTTTCCTAAGTTCAGTCATAGTAATGGGTTTCTTTTCAGGAAATGTGAGTGAAATGTAACCAAAACTAATAGTAATTTGTGCATTATAATCTGGAAAGCTTTAAAACTACACTTGTCCAGACCTTAACACATATGGACTGATTCCAAATCTCTGAGAGTAGGACCCAAATATGAGGATTTGGAAAACGTGATTCCTCAAGAGATTTGCTTACATGTTCCTGGCTGAGAACTTGTGCTGTAGGATCACCATCTCCCTTGTATTTTGATTTACTATTCACATGACAACTTTCTGCTAATGATTTGGCTTTCCTTGTGGTTTTCTAGAATGCGTTAGACCAGTTGGTTTATATAGGCAGGTCTCCTTTGAAAGTCAGTAAATTTATGTTCTGACTTAATCTCTCAGTTTGATTAGTATGGCTCATTTGCCTAGAGCTTAAGCACATTCAGTTTCTGAACATGAAAAGTTGTAGACTAGATCCTGGGTCTGTGGTCCTTTGATGACCTCTCCAATGTGTAGGCATTTTAGCAGACCTAATCTGAAGAAGCCAGCAACTGTCTCTTTCTCCTTGTATATCCCAGTTGTGATTTTAATATCTTAGAGTTCCAGGTATTTTTAATCAAGTGACTTTACCCAACTATTGCTGTATTTTGAGACTAACTCAAGTTAAAATTAATACTTGGTGCCCAGCATCTTATATAGCAGTGCCCTTAAGATGTTCCTGGAATTATTATTATTTTAAAAAATATTTATTTATTTGGGGGAGAGTGAGCCCAAGAGAGCATGCACAACAGTAGGGAGGTAGGGGCAGAGGGAGAGAGAGAGAGAGAAGAGAGAGAGAGAGAAAGAGAGAGAATCCAAGAAGATTCCCTGCTGAGTGTGGAGCCTGATGCAGGACCAAGGACCCTGAGATCATGACCCAAGCTGAAATCAGTGTCAGACGCTTAACCAACTGAGCCACCCAGGCGCCCCTGTTCCTGGAATTATTAAAAAGGGAATACAACACGCATGAAAACATAAGTATAATAAAGTATTTAGGTAACTTCTCAATTAAATAAGGTCAAAGCTGAAATGTACTTTGTAACCATAAAGTTTAAGAGTCAGTGTCTGCTACCCCCCCTTCCAAAAAGGGCTGTAAATAATCAGGTGGAATTTGCATTGGGTCCTTACGTATTTATAGGATTGGGATAATTGGACAGAAAAATGAGGACGCATTCCAGGCAGGTGGAGTAGGTTGAACAAAGTTTCAAAACCAGTGACAAATCCAGTAAATGTGTGAGAGAGAGAAGACCAGCCAGCCTCAGAAATTTAATCTAAAAAGTGATGTCGTTATTAATGAATGTATTTCTAGTTTTCTAGAATTTCTAGTATTCACATGTCAGCTAGGTGCTTTTGGAGGAGGAACTTCAGAGGTGCCGATAATCACGTTGGAATAAAATTATTCTGAAAACTATTAGTAATCTAAACAAAAATATTTTAAGTAAGAATAAATTTCTCTGTTAACTTAGGGCAGCATTGTTCCTTCTTGCAGAAGAAGTTGATAAGCTTGAGTAAACTGTTATGCTTGATTCTGAGTATAACCTGGGAGGTGCTGTGAGAAGCCCTCAAATCAGGAAAGAAAAGTAATAGAGGGAAGGGAGAGAAGAGGGAAGAAGGGACCTCAGTGATGAGAAATCTCAGGGTTTGGGAGAGAACAGACGTGTATCACTGCATGCTGGTTTCCTCTCTCTTCTCTGCTGCTCCCCACCTCCCCCTTCCCAAGGAACAAATACGTGGGCAGTGATGCTGCCCCCTAGGGCGAAGATCGACGCTAGAAGACTGCTTCAGAACCACTCTGTGTTGAACTCAGCAGGGTGCACGTTACCTTTTTCAAAAATGACCGAATCAGTAACCTATAAAGATTTACATAGTACTTAGCTTGATTTTTTTCAGGTAGCTATTAATCTTCACTGCCCCCCCAACCCCCCCCGTAATTTTAGCATTTTTTCCTCCTAATTAACAGAACAAACATGAACCAGTGTTAACAGTCATCCTTTTGAATAGGAAAAAGAATGTAGCTCAACTTGGGATGGAAAGGAAGAAAAGAGTCTGTATGAAGGCTTGGTAGATGTGTTCCCTGCTGATTACAACCCTCTCATGTTTACGGAGGAAGAATCAGGAAAACTACAGGTGCTGTTGAAGCTCTTAGCAGTTATCCATGAACTTCGTCCTACTGAAAAGTAAGTGGCCGATTTAATGAACTTGCGTATAAGCGCTCATGGAATTTTGGCTTAGATTATCCTTCCTCTCTTCCTCCTCCTTTGGGATCATGATCTTTATTTAAGAAAACTAAATCTAAAGTAAATACATATATTCACAATAACCCAGAGATGTCTTTTGATTTTTAACACCGGATTTGTTCCTTAATCTCTTTCAGAAACCCTTCTTCTTTTCTGTCTCTCTGATGTTGACCCTTCTTGGGTTTCTCTCTGGCTGCCGCCTTGCTGAAAATAACCTTCCTTGGTTATCTCTACTCCCCTCATTTCAACTCTCATTCATACAGTATTGATTCCAAGTCTATAACTCTGGTCCACCCTATCCTCTCCTTCCCATGTCCTTTTTTCTTATAGCGGGCATCTGAATCTCCTGATGGCATGTCAGGCTTTAAGCTGCAGATATCCCCAGCAGCTTCATCATTTGCCATTGCAACCTGATCCATTTTCATCATTTGTTGGCTTGATGAATGACACCATAATCCAGCAAAAATTCTAGTTCTTCTAGACTCATTTTTCTCCTTCACTCACCGAACACTGTCGGTCACTAAATTCTGTTGCTCTTTTTTTCTTTTTAAAAAGATTTTATTTATTTATTCATGAGAGACACAGAAGCAGAGACACAGGCAGAGGGAGAAAGAAGCAGGGAGCCCGATAGGACTCCAGGGTCAAGACCTGAGCTGAAGGCAGGTGCTCATCCGCTGAGCCACCCAGGCGTCCCTGGGTGGCGTCATTATTTCCTAATCTTAGAACCCACCTCCTTTCTGGTACCAAGATTTTTGTTTTGACTCTTGTAACTAATGATTTGGGTTATGATGGTCTCTAATTAACTACTTTCCTCTTACTTTCAACCTTATTACACTATCAGCATTGCCCTAAATTATATTTCTAAAATACAAATGTGAACATATCACTCTCCTTCCTTAAAAATCCTTTGAAGACTCCTAATTGTCTTCCAAGAATTTCTGAAATCTTTAAGCACATTTGGCAAGACTTTTCATGTTCTGGCTTATGCTGTATTTTCTGGCTTTGTCTCCCACCTCTCCTTCATGCTTACCATGCGATCTAGTCATACCAAACCACCTGCAGGACCTGTCCTTTGCTCTGCTTCTTACTCTCTGCTCGTACGTGGCACAGGTTCTTATGCCTCCACGGCCTTCACTTCTCATTCACCTGGCCAGCTGCTTCTCTTCATTAAGACTCAGCTCAGAGTCTTCCTTTCAGAAACTGCTGGCCTCAGATTGAGTTAGATGCCCCTCTTCTGCTCTCCCTTTGTATCTTCTCACATTATATTATAAGGTTAGTTCTCACATATTAGTACTTACAGTACAGGGACTGTGTCTTAATTATCTTTGTCACAAACTGTGTGAATTAAGGCAAAATTACAGAGACAATATTGTAAAATAGTAATTACATTTAATTGTCAAGTGATCTTGCATAACCTCTTTGGAGCATTTATAATATCATTTGACCTGTACATATTTTTAGGTTTATTTTTCATAACAATGAAGGAATTAAAATAAGGAACACTTCTATGAGGTGTTTAATATAGTTTGATTAAAATGTTTCATTAGGTAATATTTCATAAGTACAAAAGAACATGTGTAATATATATGTGCAGATGTGGGGGCACCTGGGTAACTCAGTTGGTTAAGCGGCAGGCTCTTAATTTCAGCTCTGATTATGATCTCAGGGTCTTGAGATCTCAAGAGCGTCACGTAGGGTTCCACTCTCAGCAAGGAGTCTGCTTGAGGATGCTTTCTCCTTCTGTTCTCTCTCTCTCACTTGTTCTCAAATAAATAAATTTTGTGATCTAGTTTGAATTTATGAGTGTATACTTTTACTCAGACTTAACTATTTGCATTTTTTTTTTTTAAACTGGATCCTTTTTTCCTTCTTAGGAGGAGGGGATAGATGATGGTTACTGGACAAGGAGTAATGAGTGAACAGTTTTAGAGGAAATGAGAAGAGATAAGGTATTAATATACATGTGAAAATTTATCCCTGAGATACTATAGGGAAAAGTTTCCCTCTTGTGGGAAGAAAGGAATGACGAGAAGAAGCATAATTTGGAGGCAGAGTTGGGATAGGATAATTTTGACTGTGGGTCCGTAAAACTGTGTCCTATCTTGTCCTATGAGAGAAGAAGCAACACGTCCATCAGTAGCATAGGATGGGTGTTTGTTTTGCTTTACATTATCTGAAGAGATCCTCCTGGCCCCTGCCCTTTTAAAAATTGTGGTAAAATACATATTACATGAATCTACTCTCTTAACTATTTCTAAGTGCACTGTTCAGTGTTGCTAGGCTCATTCACATTGTTGTACAACCAATCTTCCTAACTCTTTTCATCTTGCAAAACAGAAGCTGTACCCAGTGTATAACAACTCCCCATTCCTGCCTCCCCCTCAGTTCCTGGCAATTACCCTTCTGCTTTCTGTTGCTGTGAATTTGAGTACTCGAGGTCCTCATAAAACTGGCATCATACGGTGTATTGTCTTTTTTGTGACTGGCTTATTTCACTGACGTTAATGCACTTGAGCTTCATATTGTAGCATGTATCAGATTTCTTTCCTTTTTAAGGCTGAATATTATTCCATTGTGTGTATTTTCCACATTTTGTTTATGCAGTCATCTGTTGATGGGCCCTTGGGTTGCTCCACCTTTTGGCTATTGCAAATAATGCTGCTATGAACATGGATGTGCAAATATGTCTTCAAGACCCTGCTTTCAAAAAAAAAAAAAGACCCTGGTTTCAGGAGCACTTGGATGGCTCACTTGGTTAAGCATCCGACTCCTGATCTCAGCTCAGGTCTTGATCTCAGGATTGTGAGTTCCAGTCCTATGTTGGGCTCCATGCTGGGCATAGAGCCTACTTTAAAAAAAAAAAAAAAGGCCCTGCTTTTGGTTCTTTTGGTTGTATACCCAAAAGTGGAACTGTTGGCTTACTTGAAAATTCCTTTTAAAATTTTTGAGGAACCACCATACTACTTTTCATAGCAACTACACCATTTTACATTCCCACCAGCAGTGCACAAGATTTCTAATTTCTCCACATTCTCACCAAGACTGTGATTTTGTTTTTTGATAACAGCCATCGTAATGGGTGTGAGATAGTATCTCCTTGTGCTTTTGATTTGCCTTTCCCCGATGATGAGTGTTGTCGGGCATCTTTTCTCCTACTTGCTGGCGATTTGTGTATTTTCACTGGAAGAATGTATATTTAAGTTCTCTGCCATTTTCTAATTGGGTTGTTTTTTTAGGTGTTGAGGTCTGGCCCTTTTTTCATATGGCCAACTGGATGTAGAGGCCAGGCTTTCCAGGGCTGGGCTGCCTATGCACAAGCATTCTAAGCCTTTAAAGATACGTGGCTAGAAGTGACACCGTTTGGTTTCAGGGATAATATTACTGTCTTCACTGTAACTTCTGTATTACCACTAACTTGAACCAGACAGTTATATTTGAGATCTTCAGGAAGAACTCTTTTAGTACATACAGTGTTTTTGTGCAGGTTAAGGTTAAGGTGTATTAGAACTGGGTGGAGGCATAGCTGAGAACTCTTGACTTGTCCACCAGGTGTCCCTTTTATGGAATTTTTAAAAAGGAAACTTCAAAATTTAAAAACATTTATTTTCCCTCCTGGTTGTTACGTTCATTCACTAGGCTTCACAGCTTGGCAAGCAGGGTTTATGCTGCATCCTTCGTGTATCACTTGGATGGAGACTTTGCTGGGTGCACCTTGCACCCAGATTTCAGTTGCTTTATGGGATAGTCTAATGAAGAGAAAATGAACAGTCTTGTTTCAAAAGTGATATGTACCTTTGTGTGTGTGTGGGGGGGTTGGTGCTCTAGACCTCTAAAGGAGGATTGTCGGAGATTCCTTAGTCAGTTACCTGTCACATCAGTCTGTATCTAGCCTTGTAAGAACCTATTGGGGGAAAATATTAAGCTGGATTTTTTTTTTTTTTTGTCTAGTGAAGCTGTATCAGAAAGACTGTTTAGATAATGTTATTCATCCCTATAGTGTTCCTGGGTGAACTGGGGAGACTCCAGGCCCTGAGGCCTCCATCTTGCCCGCCAGGGGACATGAGGCTCTCGGTCTTGTTCGTCATAACACAGTGGTTGAACGAGCGGTTTAAGTGAAGAGATTTTTAAAGTGAGAGTACACTCTGGAAATGGGAGAGTGGGTGGACTCAAGGGAGAAGCTTGGATCTCTATCTTTTATTGACAGTTGTTATCTGAGGGGTGGGGTACTTATTTGGGGAGGGGATTTCTTTGGGAGCAGGGTTTTACACCTTTTGTCCCTTACCTGGTCAGGGTCTTGGGCCTTCTGTGTCTGGGGCCTATCTGGTTTGATCTGGTTTCTTGTGGCTTTGCTTGTGGAATGCTGCCAGGACAGGTCACTAGCTTTCTTCGCAACAGGTCTTGACCCCCACCCCCTTTTGCTGACCTCCAAGTATTCTGTTAAAGCCTAACTAACTGCTGACTGTAACAGTAATAGAGGAAGGAAAAATGATTGAAATAATATGGAAATGATTGGAATTATGGTAGATTGCAAAAATGGTCTAAGTTCTCCTTCATGTATCCACATTCCTTTGCTAGATAATTTTGAGTGGCTTCCTACTGTGCCTCTGAGCTCAGCCACATGACTTGAATTGGACCATGCAGTGTTGGCAAATGTGGCACAAAAAGGGACTTGCAAAGAACTTGTGCATTGAGGCTTGTCCTCCCTTGGGTACCTGTGAATAAGCCTTGGCTAGCCTGGTGAGTAGGTCAGCCAGTCCCCAACTGACCAGGCAGTTGACTGCGGATATGTGAGTCACAGCCACAGAGGAACCTCCTAGCTGAGCCCAGCCTAAATTGCCAACCTTCTGTTTGTTTGTTTGTTTATTTATGATTCTGTTTATTTATTTGAGAGTGATTTGAGAGAAATTTATTTGAGTATGTGAGGGATTGAGAGAGATGGAGAAGCAGGCTTCCTGCTGAGCAGGGAGCCTGTGAGGCTTGATCCCAGGACCCTGGGATCATGACCTAAGCCAAAGGCAGACACTTAACTGACTGAGCCACCCAGGCATCCCCACCAGCCTACTGTTAAAAAATAAAATTCAAACAAGTACATTTTAAGATCTAATTGGCTTTATTAAATGATTCATGAATCAGGCAGCACCATCGAGCAAGAAGTAGAGGGGAGCTCTTCTGAGCTTAACTAACAAAGGTTTTATTTTTTAAAGATATTATTTATTCATGAGAGACAGAGAGAGAGACAGAGACACAGAGACACAGGCAGAGGGAGAAGCAGACTCCCTGCAGGGAGCCCGACATGGGACTCGATCCCAGGACCCCGGGGTCATGCTCTGAGCTGAAGGCTGACGCTCAACCACTGAGCCACCCAGGTGGCCCCAGTAAAGTTTTAACGGCAGTGAGGCAGGAAGGGAAGAAAGAAATTTATCAGCAAGGAATGGATTATCTGAGCTGGCTTGCTGTCCTAAGGGGAGTGGAGGGGTCTATCAGTAAATTTCCTAGTTACTGACTAGGAAGTTCCATGTAGACTGGTTTATAGGTTACATTCCTGGGGGACTGAAACTGCAGTTACGTTAGTTATTAAGTCTTGGTTCCTGACTTGGGGTCTTGACCTAAGTGATGCCATTTTGGGTCTGGGTTTTCTTTTTAATCCTGCAGTTAGTGAGCTAAATATAAAGTAAATGGTTGTTGTTTTAAGCCACTGAACTTTGGGATGGTTATTATGTAGCAAAAAGTAACTGGTACAGAAATACAAATCTAAATTATTATTGGATTATCTTTTCCTTCTTAGTGTAATTTAAAAAATTATAACTTTAAAATTGGCTTTATTTCTTGCTTTATAATTAAAACTTTAAAATTTGCTTTTATTTTCTAGTGCTAATTATATATAGGAGATAGTCTTGACTTTATTTTTAATTTTTGCTTAATTATTGAACGTCAGCTATTATAATAAATACTGGTTTTACTTTTTACATTATTTTATGGTTTAAAATTTTCTTTTTCAAGATGTTAAAAGGCTCATTATAAAATATCAGACCCTAGTTCTTCTCTCCCTCTGCATCCTGTTTCTTAGTGCAATCACCAGTTCCCCTAGTGTATTGCCAGCTCATGTGCTGTCACTGCTCTCTTGTCACATCACATTTTCAGCTTCAGAATTTCTCTTTGGTTCTTTTTCAGTAATTTCTCTTTGTTGATGTTCTTGTTTTGTCATACATAGTTTTCCCAGTTTCCTTTAGTCCTTTGTCCAGTTTTTTCTTTTAGCTCTTTGAGCATGTTTAGGAGAGTTATTTTAGTCTTTTTTCCACAAGCATATGTTTCTTCCAGGACAATGTCTGGAGACTTATTTTGTTCCTTTAAATGGGTCATGTTTTCCTCTTTTTTCCTTTTAAATGTCTTAATTTCTGTATGAGCCTCACCCCTGTTTCTTCTAAAACCTTAGTTTTCGTGTTCTATTCCTCAGGCAGTGATTTCTTGCACCCCGCACCCCTTCCCGTGGCTTCCCCTAGCTGAGATCCTAGCTGTTTCTGGTCATCTGAACTCTGAGTTAGGTAACACTGGTAGACACCAACCCCTCAAGTAGCCTGCAGACAGGTTAGGACTTTGCAGATTCAGTTCACTAAAGGGAACAAGGGGATTGGTTGCCATCTTCCAAACCAAACTGTACTGGGGAGGGAGTAGGGCAAGGGTGGGTAAAAACACCATGAAATTTCCTACCATATTTTAAATATGGCTTTTTCTTGATTAGGCATTTATTTGTTGTTGTACATCTTTGATTTCCAGAGCCCCCATAAAATTATTTCAGTCTGTTTCTGGTTGTTCATTTAATGTTTCTATGGCGTAAAAAGGGCCCGGAACTTCCTAGTCCATCTTGCTGATGTTACTTGTCTCATCCATTTTTTATTTTATCTAATGACTTCCTCTTGTGATTCATGAGAATCTAATGCTCTTATGTCCCCTCCACTCCCTTTCATCCTTTCAAGACAGTTACATCACAGCTTCTGGTTAAATTAGCATTTAATACTTCTGTTATAACAAAGTTGTTATTCACTGCTAAGCCAAATAGGTTACCATGATTGCATTTTCTATCTTGAACAACTTTTTAGTAGCCCTCTTAGAGTTACTGGTTGCCTTTTTTTTCTTTTTACTTCTCCCCATTTGCTTTATTGTTTGTAAGTATTATAAAGCCTTCCTATATATAACCTTCATTACCTTTCAGTGCTTTTTTTCCTATGAGTCTAAGTTCTTTTGTATTTTCTTTGTCTTCTCTCTTGTCCTCTGCCCTCATGCTACAATTTGAACCAGTCATTCTGAAATTGTGCTGCAGAGCTGTCATCCTGGGACTTTGCTTAACCATCACCTAGAATTTTTTTTTTCTTTTCTGTGTTGTACCTTATGTTTCCTGGGTTTCACATTTTACTGGAGCACATCTTGCAGTAGCTTCCTGAGACAGAGGAGATGGAAGGGAAATCATTTTTACTTCGTGCTTGTCTGAAACTTAGTCCTGACTGACAACTTGGCATAGTTCTAAAATTCTAAAGTGAAACAGTGTTCTTCTAGAGCTTTGAAGGAAGTACTTTACATGTCTTCTAGCTTTTCCAGTTGAGGTGTGATGCCTTCCTGATTTTTATCCTTTGCTTGTAACTTGTATTTTCTCCGTGAAAGCTATAGCTGCTTTTTTTTCATTTCTCATGCTTTGAGTTATAATCTTGATGTGCCTTAATTTGGATCATTTTTTCATTTATTGGGTTGGGAACTTCAGTAGGTCCTTTCAGTCTGAAGACCCCATGTCTGGGAAATATTCTCTCTTTCAAAACAATTTCTTTTGTTTTCTTTGGAATTTTTGTTAGTTAGATACTGAACCTCATTGACTGATACTCTAATTCTTCTATCTTTTCTCTCTTATTGGTCATCACTTTTTTTAAAAAAGATTTTATTTATTTATTTGACAGAGCAAGCACAAGCCAGGGGAGCAGCAGGCAGAAGCAGAGGGAGAAGCAGTCTCCCCACTGAGCAGGGAGCCCAACACAGGACTCTATCCCAGGACCCTGTGATCATGACCTGAGCCACCCAGGCGCTCCATCGCCTTTTTTTTCCTCCACCTATTTCCTGGCATACTCTCTTGTTATTATGTTTCAACTTTCCTGTTAAATTTTTATTCTGATTGTCGTTTAAAATTTCTAAGATATTTTCTTATTTTTGATTATTCTTTTTTATTGCCTTCTCTTCTTGTGAATGCATCTCTTACTTGAGGATATTAATTATTTTCTTAAAGATGTCTCCTGTTTCCTCCATTGCTCTGTTTTATGGTTATCTTCTTTTCTGTTTATTTGCTTTGGTTTCTATTTTTCATGTTGGAGCCTCACCACAAATAGTTGGTGATCCTTGGTGTCCATTCATATTTAAAAGTGATGCGGTAAAACATTTATTGAACACTCTGTCTGAGCAGGGCTGGTTGACTGGTGGCCTTCACTGGGTAATTAGGTAGTAAACTGGCTGGACCTTTTCTCTGGGGTCATTTAAGTCATCCCAGAGATGAATCTTTCAGTACTATCTTTTTGGGGATGGGATATGAGAGGGATACCTGGTTACTGGTGTTTTGGGAATTGGCAGTAGAAGGGAACTGGGATCTATCCAGTATGCAGACTTTCATTTTGATTTGTCACTATATCCTTGCCTTCTAGAGTCCCCTGGTCTCAGTTTTCTTTGGTTTACTTTCTCCAGAGTATAAACACACTAGCTGAGAAAGAATAGTCAGTTGGTTACATGGGAGTAGAGTATGGGCTCTGTTTACCAGTGCTCTTATAATGGCGGCAGTCTAAACCCCTTCCTTCTGAGGTGTCTTAGGATTCTCTGATGTGAATAAATTTGCTCTTGTTTCTTATTAGAATCTCCCCCTTCAGGCACTTAGGTTTTATGTTCTCTATACTCCCTAAGCAAGTCGCCATTCCTTTATTCTCTATTTTCACATGTAGGTATCTCCTTGTTTTATCAAAGGTAGAGTTATTTCTATTTCTCATTGTACTGTTTTTAGAGTGACTTCAGAGAGATGAAAAAAGATCTTTATTCCAGTTAAAACTAGAAGTCTCTTAGATATTGATTTAAAAATTGAATTTGAAGGAGAACCTATATTTTAATCGTACAGGGTCATTGTGCATGTTCTGTAAATATCACTGGTAGTACCGCTGTAGTATTTTCCTTCAGTGAAAAAAATCTAACACTGCTTTAAAATTGTATATAAAGGCTCTTCTTTTTGATTGGCAGGGTGGTGTTGGTATCCAACTACACACAAACCTTGGATATTCTACAAGAAGTATGCAAGCGTCACAGATATACTTATACAAGACTCGATGGACAAACACCAGTCTCCCAAAGACAGCAAATTGTTGATAGTTTTAATAGTAAATACTCTTCTGATTTTATTTTTTTGTTAAGTTCAAAAGCTGGTGGTGTGGGACTTAACCTTATTGGAGGATCTCACTTAATTCTCTATGACATTGATTGGAATCCAGCCACTGATATCCAGGTATGACTATTTATGCATTAAATACACATTATAGAATGTGTACTCAGGAGACTATGCCTGCTGGGGATATGAGGATGAGGAGGATGTATAATAACTGCTGTGTACTGAGCTCTTACTTTCTATCAGGCATTCTATAAGTGCTTTACGTCTATGTAATCTTCATCATAGTTCTACAAGTGTGGGTATTACTAGCCCTGTTTTACAGATGAGATGGAAACTTGTTCTGGGCCACATAACCTGTCAGAGGCAGAGCCAGGATTCAGACCCAAGCCTGCGTATCCCTAGTCTATACTACACAGTTGGGCCTTTGGGATGCTCATGACTACCAGGGAAAGACAACAAAGTGTTATAGACACTTTTATCAGGGTTTGTGGATGGTAAAATAAAGATATTAAATTAGCTTATGTGGGGAAATATTTCAGAAGCTGGTTTTGGTTTTCTTCAGCATACAGTCTATCTTCACGTACTTTGAGATCTACCTATGGATTTGCACCTCATCTGGTGTCTGTGGTGGGGGACCCAAAGACAACCCTCAGGTTCAGTGATTACTATAGAAGGATTCCGAGAACCAGGAAAAATAGCTATATTCATAGTTACAGTTTATTACTTCCCCATATCCCCAGCAGGCTTAGTCTCCCCAGTTTGGTACAGACTAAAATCAGTAAAGGCAAATGGCACATGTGGATTTCAGGAGAGATAAGGCACAAGCTTTCAGTTGTCCTTATCCACTGAGGTTGTACAGACAATACTTAATTCTGCCAGCATTGATGAGTGACAACACAGATTGAAGTATTGCCGTCCAGAGAGGTTCGCTCAAGTCTTGATGTGTTGAGATTTTGTTGGAGGTTAGCCATATAAGCGTGGAGTAGCAGTGTGAATGACCTAAGCTGCTCAGTCCCCAGCCCCTCCACAGGTCCCAAGGCCCCTACCTAAATCACCTTGTCAACAAAAACTATCTTCTGTGGCCCAAGGCCTTAGGTAAACTAAGATACTCTTACCAGGCAGGGTATTACTAGGGCTTAGAGTTTCTCTCCCAGGAACTGGTTGAAGGTTAGGACTTTAGAGGGTGTGGGGTTTGAACACCAACTCTCTACACTATCACTGATAAGTTATAAAACCATAGGAACTACCTATAGCCTGAACTGATTAGATATCCTAGGGATTCCTTAGGATTAAGTCATTAGCTCCTTGGACTGGAAGAAACCCTCCATGCCCATGCTATACCTGGTTCTTTGTGTCCTTACTGTCCTATTTGGTGCAGATAGATCCTCTCAGTGTTGTGTGATACCCCTGCAGCTATTTTACAGTGAATGTTTATCCACCCCTTTCTTTATCCCAGGAAAAAAATAGGAGGTAGAAAATGCCTGGGCTTTGTTTGCCGAAGCTGCAAGTAAAATCTAGAATTCCTAATCTTAAATGTATTAACACATATTGCTTATGTGGACAGGGTTATTGGTTCCCACTGTACTCTGAATTCTCCTTTATTTCCTATAGGCAATGTCTAGAGTATGGAGAGATGGTCAGAAAAATCCTGTACATATTTACAGACTTCTAACCACAGGTAATAACCCTTCAGTGTGAAAAAAAAAAAAAAGTTGTCTCTTTGAATAATCAAAAGATCTTTTTTTTTTTTTGTTAATCTGGGCTTTGATATCAGGAATATTGTTATTTTGTTAACTTGTATGCTAATAAACATGTTTTACCCTGCAAAAATAATGAACTTAAAGATGTGAAGGAAATCGATTCAATGTTTTTTCTTTAGGTACAATAGAAGAAAAGATTTATCAAAGACAGATCAGTAAGCAAGATCTTTCTGGGGCAGTTGTTGACCTAACCAAGACATCTGAACATATCCAGTTTTCAGTAGAAGAGCTAAAAAATTTGTTCACATTACATGAAAGTTCACATTGTGTTACTCATGACCTGCTTGACTGTGAATGTACAGGAGACCAAGATGGTACAGGTTAGTTAAATCTTAATTGTGTTAAAATGGTAAAGTTAATTTCTCTGTCTCTCTTTAGCTATTGAAAACATTGAATACAGAGTAACCAAAATATTTACCATTCACATTTGTTAGTTTTCCTTTTCCCTCACGTCATAGGGCACCTGCCAGATGGATGTTTGAGAAGATATTAGTTAGAACCTTACTAGTTTTCTCAGTTTAGCTTCTTCTGAATTAGTTGTGAACAATTTAACTTGTTTAGGAAAATCTTTCAAAACCGGTATGATGGCTTTGAAATTATAGAAGTGTTTTTAACCCTTATTTCTATTTCATAAAAAACATACACTTGACAGAATAATGCTGCTGTGTGTTTATTTTTTGTACAACCCATTCACAGTGGGGTCATACTTTGCGAGGCGTTAGCATGGACCACCGTACTCCTCAGTACTTGACGAACTCCTAGTGCTGCTCCAGTGAGGCTGAGAACGCCAGTCCTCCAGAGCTGACACTGTTCAGATAGGAACAGGATCGGGGGTAGGACCTGAGGAAGCAGTGACCAGTACTTGGAAGTCACTTGGTCAAGTGTGTTGAAAAGGTTTAAGAAGGTAGACCGGACAAGACTGACATGGAGGACTTCACCTATAATATAAGTCAACATTTGATTCTCTCTTGTATGCGTTTTCTATTTTAATAACTACTGCTCTTATTTTATCTTCATTTTTCCTTGTATTTACCCTAAACTTCTTTTTTTAATTTTTCAACCCGAATGCCTAACTTGATAATTATTCAGCCTTCTTTTCTGCAATGGGTATTAAAGGCTGTACATTTTCCTCAAAGTTGAATCTCATAACTTTGTATGTGGTTCTTTTTTCTTAAGATTTTATTTATTTATTTAAGATAGAGAGGGGGAAGAGATAGCACGAGCAGGGGAAGGGCGAGGAGGGGCAGAGAGAGAGAGAGAAGCAGGCTCCTTGCTGAGCAGGGAGCCCAATGCTGGGATCATGACGTGAGCCTAAGGCAGACGCTTCATTGAGCCACCCAGGTGCCCCAAATTCTTGAATTTTTCTATCTGATAGTAAAAAAATATATTAGTCTAGTTTTAATTTGTTTTCCTCTTATTACGAGTGAAGTTGAGCATTTTTTTTCTTGTATTTAAGAGCCTTCCTTTATATGAATCATCTGTTCATATCATTTGCCCATTTTTCTATTAATAATGTGATTTGTTAGCTATATCTGTTATTGAAAGAAATATGTTAAAATCTTAAAATATGACAGTGACAGTGGATTTATCAAAGTTACTTGTTAATCAACATTTGCTTTGTATATTTTGTATCTTCTTTGTGAATTTTTTTATTATGGCCTATTTTATTAATAGATATGATTTCTTTATCCTAATATCTTTTGCTTTCATTTATCTTAAGTTTATATATTATGCTGGCTTTCTTTATGGTATTTGGTGTATCTTCCTTGTTTTAAGTCTGTCTGTGTCCTTATGTTTTAGTTATTTCTCTTGTTAACAGCATAAAGATGGATTTCCTTTTTTCCAGTCTTATGTTTTAACTAGAGCATTTAGTTTTTTCATAGCTAATATAATTAATGACGTCTTTTGATTCACTTCTGTCTTTTCATGTCTGTTTTTTTCAACAAAGGCCGACTAGTGGTTCACTCTTGATCTTTGATTTTTCAGAGTATTTGCTTTTTCCCTCTCTCTCAAATGCTGTCTTTGGTAGGTGTACAATTCTAGTCAATAGGTCTTTTGTTTTGTAAGTACTTTGGAGATAATATTCTACTGTCTCCAAATTCTTAAAGTAATGTTGTCATCTCTTAAGACCTCAATGATTTTGCACATTGACAAGATTTAGGTATTAAGGAAAGACAGTTATTTAAAGTGTGATAAAGTTTAAAAAGAAATCTTTATCTTTTAGAAATGCAAAGTGAGATATTTACAGTTGAAATGATATATGCCACATACTTATTTCATTATAATAAGGAAGTAGAGTAAGCGGAGTCTAAATAAAACAAGATTGGCTATTATTTGACAGGTATTGAAGGTGGGGTACATGGTAAACTGTAGGTTCTCCATTTCTATCTTGCCACCTTTTATATATATTTGAAATTTCCTATAAGGAAAATGTTTAAAAAAATCTCTTTGAAGAGCTTCCATTGCTCTTAAGGATAGAGACTAAAATCTTTACAGTGTTTAGTTAGGGTTGGGTTAAGTGCTGTAAGAGGAAACTCAAAAAGCACAGAGGCCTACCTACAATAGAAGTATATTTCTCATGTAGCAGGGCACATAATCGTAACAGAGTGGACAGCCTTGTATGATGTGGTTTGATGGTCTAGGCTTCTCCCACTTTGGGTTATACCATCCCCTTGGGCCTTAGAGTTCCCTGCTGGGATCCCGGCAGCTGTCAGCCAGCAGGTGAGAATGGAGAAAAGGTAGAAAACCATGTGGTGTGGGGGATTTTTCTAGGCCTGACCTAGAAGTGACATAGAGCATATATCTATTCACATTCCATATAGGTCACATTCAGTGGTTGCATCTAACTGTAAGGAAGACTGGGGAATGTGACTAAGTGCCCTGGAGAAAAGAGATACGGATTTAGTGAATAACTACCAGCCTCTGCCATTCATGATTTAATCAGTATTTTGCATTATCCAGCCCTTGAATGCATGCTTCACCCTGCATTACTGAACTTCTTGCATCATTCTTCATCTTTGCTCTCTAGGCTCTAGTTGCATTGAGCTCCTGTCAGTTCCTTGACTGTGCCAGACTTCCTTCACTTTCATAGCCTTTGTGTAGGTCCTTCTTCTGGAATGCTTTAACTCTTTTCCCCACCTGGTTCTTGCCTTCTCATCCTTCAGATCTTAACAAAAACAAGTCAGCTTTCTTGTTATATGTGCTCAGAGTTCTCTGTATCGTAATTCCGTACCCTTACTACTGTTTGTAATACAACTCCACAGTCCCTCATCTTCAATTTTGAAATCTAGAAATCTTGAAAGACCAAAATTTGTTTTTTTTTTTTTTCTTCATGAATTTGCAACAAACTGATTTGGTGGCAAAAACCTTACCTAAGTTGATGTGAATTTATCAGGAGTCATTAATCCATTTTATAAGACTATTCATATGACTTACTGCAGAATATTAATGAATTTGATTATGGAGTGCCATCCCAGATTGTTCCAATTATATTCTGAATTTAGAAGCATATCTGGCCCCAAAGGTTTTAGACAAGGGGTTGTGGGATTGTAATACATCTGTTTAGATGGTTATTTGCTTAATTTATCTCTCACTAGATCAACAAGGTCCTTGAGTCAGAGACCAAAATGCAATAAATTATATAAACTCATTATGTAATAAAATAAAAAGTACTGTTTATAGTAGGGTATTGGATAGCCTAAGGATTTTCTCATTGTTTTACTTATTTCAGGTGATTCATTGGAAAAATTCCCTGTCTCTAGAAATTGTCAACTTGGTGCACATCACCAGAAGTCTAACTCTCTGAAACCTCTCTCCATGTCACAGCTGAAGCAGTGGAAACATTTTTCTGGAGATCATTTAAATCTTACAGATCCTTTTCTTGAAAGAATAAGAGAAAATGTCTCATTCTTTTTTCAGAATATAACCAACCAAAGTACTGCTATTATATAAGGAAAGATTACATCACGACATTCCCTCGCCCCCCTTTTAAAAAAAGGTAACATAGTAATTAAATGTAATTTTTGAAAACTAATAGAATTATGTAAATTATATTTTCTTCCAAAATGAATCCTAATTTTGATACACAGTCAAAACTTGTTTACTTTTTTGTATGTGTTCTTCAGTATTGAAACATTAAAGACATACTTCTATCATCATACAGTTGTTTACTAGTATTCCATAATTAATGCACTTTTATTAAATACCCATTAAGGAATTTTCATAAGGAATATAAAAAGGTAAATACCTAGTCCCTGTGTTTGGGAGATGTAATCTGAGTAGGAATATTAGACATAGATGTGTGAGATCAGTTTCAACTGCAGCTCAAGGGAGAAAGACTAGGACTGCAGAGGCTAAAGATGCTGCGTGTGATAGTTGCTGCAGGGCGGTTTGAGGGAGAATGGTCAGCGGGTTGGGGCAGGAGATGAAGGACGATGGGACACTTCAGAACACTGGTTCTTAACCTGAGACCTCAGACTCCTGGGGTACTGACAAGCGGTCTATAAAGCTCTGTCGACCAAACATTGTTTGCCCTCCGAATAAGGGAAGTTTCGGTTACCATCATGTCAAGGGTTGTCTGTAGTAATTTTTGACATTAAAAAGAAACTTTTAATTTACAAAACAAACTTTAGAAGGTTGAAGTCTACAAAGTGAAGGGAGTTAGTCTCCAACTGGAGCTTCTGTAATCAGCTTCTGCTTCCATTTGGGAAAATTTCTTTTAGACTGACTATTGCCTTGAGGTCTTAAATAAAGACTGACTTATAGATCAACAAATCTGAGGTTTTCAGATTTCTAGTGCCGTACCTGCGCAGTTGTACATCTAGGATCCATGACCAGGTAGTCTGGGACCAAATTTGTCATTGAGGAAGTACTCAACTACTAGTAAGCAAAAATGGTGTTTCTTGGCCCTTTTTATAGGCCTCATCTATGAGGTACTTCCAATATCTATGATATTATGGAATTTTTTTTTTTAAGATTTTATTTATTCATGAGAGACAGACCGAGACACATAGAGAGAGAGAGGCAGAGACACAGACAGAGGAGGAGCAGGCTCCCTGCAGGGAGCCCGATGTGGGACTTGATCCCCAGTCTCCAGGATCATGCCCTGGGCCAAAGGCAAGCGCCAAACCACTGAGCCACCCAGGGATTTCCTGATACTATGAAATTATTCTTAGGTGTAAAGATCCCTTAAAGAAATACAATGATAGGGACTGATAACTTTATTGTTTTTCTTAAATTGTGTTGGATGCTAGAGCATGCTGTCCGGATTTCCACATTATTCATTTCCCTAGCCATCTGCTACCACTCCTAGCCAAATCCCTGCCTAAGTATAGCCCTTAGCTGAAAAGAGCTCCCTCACCCAGGGTTATGCTCGCTCTCCAGAGCAGCTATCATCCAGTGCTTTGTTGATGCAGGATGGAAAGGCCCAACTTCACAGCTCTTCAGCTGAGGCCTTTGTTGCAGCTTCATTGCAGTTCAGCTGCTCTCTCTGTTCACGTGTGCTTCCCACACTCCCTTATAGACGTTGCTCTGAAGAGCACTTCCCACAGCTTCCCTGCAAGAAGATGTGCCTCTGCATGTTTTCCAGGGAAGCTGACTTAAGACACTATCCATGGAGTATCACTGAAAAAAAGCATTCTAATAATTGTAATTGATGGCATTCAATTGTAAATACTTGCAGGCAGAGTAATCATTTACCTAGATGAGCTGATAACATGAAAGTTTAAGAAAGTAGTATAAGTTTTGCTTTATACTGCATTTAGAAAATAAGACGTGGCAGAAAGAATTAGCACTTGTACATTTACGGTGTTGTGCAATCATCCCTGCTATCCATTGCCAGAAGGGAGTTCTCGTCTTAATGTCTTCCTTTCCTCCTTCCTTCCAATCACTGTCAACCCAAAGCCATTGGCCTCCCTCCCCCAGCACTCAGGGCCTCCATCCCAATGACTTCTTAATTGATAAAATACAATGAATTGTTTTCGTCTTTATATTGTTTTGTTTTTTTTTCACATTAGATACTGGCGAACACTTCCTTCTTGAAACTCTTGCCTTCCTTAATTTTGATTTAATGGATTGTATTCATTTGTCATTCCATAGATATTTAATATTTTTAAAAGATTTTATTTATTTATATGCTAGAGAGAGAGCAGGAGAGAACATAAACCAGAAGAGCGGCAGAGAAAGAGGGAGAAGCAGGCTCTCCACTAAGCAGGGAGCCTGACACGGGGCTTGATCCCAGGACCCTGGAATCATGACCTGAACAGACAGCAGACACTTAACTGATTGAGCCACGCTGGCACCCAGCCCGACCCCACCGCGCCCCCCCTCCCCCATATTTATTGAGTAGCTAGCACATCTCAGGCTTTGTCCTAGGGGTTGTACATATAATAATAAGTAAAACAGGCAGTCTCTGTGCTAGTGCTTTCATCCTAGCACACAGAGAACAATACACATATGTAATATAGTACACGATGAAAAGTGCTGTGAAGAAAAATAAGTAGA